AAGGAACGTCAGGTGTCGGTTTAGTATTAATATAAATTATTTATTATATTTTTAATAGATATTAGAGTTTTTATGCGATTCACACTATGTTTCGCAGTAATCTATCTCCATAAAAATATATAAAAAAGGAGTGCCTATTATAAAACTCGTATACTGGTTTCTCGATAACGGCAATTCATTCAAGATAATTCCGATGACGTGAACCAGTTACAATCAGTTGGGTCCTATTTTATATATTATCTATATACTCTGTTACTGTTCGCAGATTTTTAGGTCGTTTAAAAGATATAGTTTACTCTACACTTATCGAAAAAGTTTTTGGAACAAAAAACACAGATGGACCAAATAACTGAAAATTTATTAAGTGATTTAAACCACATTCTTAAATAATGAACAGTATATCAGTAGGGAAAAAAACTGTACTGTACCCCCAGCCCCACCACTCTCCCCACCCTGGTTGGGGGGGATCGGACGTTTGGGCGAGAGTGCAAGGAGTCGTCTGGTGGGCTAGGGCTTTAAATACCATCCTTGGGCCTGGGGTCCGATCCAAACATCTGCCGACAGTCCAGTCCTAATACTCCGCGCATCCCCTAGTCGCGAGGATTTGGTAGGTTCGGCCACCGGCCCAGAAATAAATAAATAAAAGGGTCCCGGGTACAAACTTAGATCTTTTAAATGTAGGCCCTTGAAAAAAGATTGGATTATATTAAATAAGCCTTGTAACACAATAACAGCGCGATTCAGAAAACGAATCCAATGAGTGCTTTAAACTGTTTTGATAGAAATACAAACATAATTATGAGATTGGAAAAATTGCACTCACGAATATTTTCTATGTAATTATCGGTGCTTTACCGGCAAACCGAAGTTTGCAAAGCACAATTATGGATCCGCTATTTCCAGACTTTTCTTTTTTTACCTGAACTGTACAACTTGGTGATTGTGGCGTGTCACCACTTTGACAGAAGGAGACTTGACATTGTGATTTTTTTTAGACTTAACGAGACGAAAGTAAAAAAAGGGAAAATAATTGATTATACCTATATTATTATTACAAATAAGAGTATCTTTAATATCAAGGCAAACGCGAAACTCCCGGTACATATTTCAAACTGTCACCTCCAAGCCTTTGCAGAATAGAACTGTCTTAAGTCTGAGACAACGATATCCCGAAAGAGTTGAATTTTCGTTTCATTCGATAGTTACGAACCCTAAAACCCTAAAAAACTTCTAATTAATTTGCGAAATGAAACAAAAACATCACACTGTATATGTTAAGTCAAGTTCAGCTGTTGTCAGAATTCTACGCATACCGCAGTTGGACCGTCGTTATTTCAATTACAACCGTCCCTCGTCAAAGACAAAAGATCTGACGCGAAGAAAGAAAAAAAAAACGTCGCCTTATCTATGATTGGATCGCGGTCGTGTAAACGTTAAAGTGTATTGTTTGTTCGATTTTCGGTAGCTTTGTATTTTTTTTTTATATATATAATTAATAGCTTATGGATTTTCGTACATAAATTTAATTTTTTGCTAATTCCGTCGCGATTTTGGTTCATTATTAGAAGTGACCATTTTAGACTTCAAGTAAATATTGTGAATTAATTCCATGATACCATTCCTCTGTGTGTGTGTGCAACTGGTCTCTAGTGGTAGAGTACAGCAAATAGCTCTTCTATAATATTATTAGGACTTGGACGTCATAACGTCTCATTATTGAGGGCGGTATTCACGTCTTTCTCGAATATCTCCCACAACCACTTATAATAATATTTGTAATACTAACACAATATGAGACTGATGTCTTGAAATAAAAGTTTATTTATTTATTTTATATACATATTTATAACCAGGTGGGTCTTTTTTTTTTCCTACCTATGCTGATAGCCTTGAGAGGCTATTTCAGCTTCACCCTAACGTTTGTAGGTGAGCTCGCGGGGCTCAACCGGAGAGTTGCTAACACTGACCCTAGCAAGAGCAGTGCTTCGCAGAATCTACCACCGGATCGGAAACGCGACCCACTGAGAAGATCCGGCGAGAAACTCAGTGGGCTGTGTCTATGGGTTAGNACCTATGCTGATAGCCTTGAGAGGCTATTTCAGCTTCACCCTAACGTTTGTAGGTGAGCTCGCGGGGCTCAACCGGAGAGTTGCTAACACTGACCCTAGCAAGAGCAGTGCTTCGCAGAATCTACCACCGGATCGGAAACGCGACCCACTGAGAAGATCCGGCGAGAAACTCAGTGGGCTGTGTCTATGGGTTAGTTCGGTCGTCGAGCCCTTCGTCGCAAGCGACGGGTTCGACGAGGACGGTGACCGGGGCCAGGTGGGTCGTCGATTCGTTATATATAGTGCCAATAAGCCTACCATTTATCAAAACACAGGTATTTTAATATAACAATATTTTATATTTGTTGCATACGTACTTTGTTATATTATTTAAATGTATTTACATTATAATATTTTGTTTTGACTAATAATACATTAAATATTTTTTTACGTACTTCACAAATGTTCACGATTGACTTTCACGGTCAAGGAATAACATCGTGTAATAAAAATCGAACCCACAAAATTATAATTTGCGTAATTACTGTGTACTTGTGAGGACTCACAAGATGTCCTACCACCACCCTGCCTATTTCTGCCTTGAAGTAGTAATGCGTTTCGGTTTGAAGGGTGGTGTGGGAAGGTTTTACTGTAAAAACGGAGACCTTAGAACTCATATCTCAAGGTAGGTGGCGGCATTTACTTTGTAGATATCTATGGGTTCCAGGAACCACTTAACACCAGGTGGGCTGTGAGCTCGCCCACCTAGCTAAGCAGTAAAAAAATACATAAATGTAACAAGTAAATTAAATTACGTCCGCAATTAAATTATTAAGATAAGGCACTATACCTAGACAATTTTTAACAGTAATTTTTTAAAATAATACAATTATGTACATATTTTGCAGATCTCAATTTTAAATATACCGAACCGAATTTATAAACACAAATTAAAATTTATTCGTTGTATAACATCACTAAATTATGTAGAAACGTGGAATAATTGTGAAAGTGGTTTTATATTAACTAAGATGGATAAGATCATGACCCTACTTGATGTTAAATGTTTGCCGGAGCCCTTAAGCATCAACCATGATAATGCCACCACTCACTTTGAGATGTGATTTCTAAGTCCAGTTTTTACAGTACAATGGCTGTGAGCTCGACACAGCTACGGTTTCCTCCTATGGGGGGTGAAACCGACGGGGAACTTCTGGAAAGCTAACACTCATGCGTTGTTGCTTACTTGGCTCTGGGACGCGATGCGCCATCCGAGGGGCCCCGTTTCAAGCCGTTAGGGAATCATGTCTTGCCTTATAAGATCAAGGCTGAACCGGCAGGGTATTTATGGGATTAGAGCCGCCTTATCAACCTCATCACAACTGCTTCCCTGTGTATAAACGGACTTCCCATAGTACAACGGCTGCCCTAACCTTCAAACCCAAAAGGCATTACAGCTTCGTGGCAGAAACAGGCAGGGTGTTGGTGTCGCTCGATACAAATGCAACGGGTACCTTATATTTCAGGCCACAACGACTTTCTTATAACGTTTGCTTTCCAAAATAAAACTTTGAATTCGCGTAGGCCGTATTTCGGCTATGTACATTTTCGTAAAATTCCACATTTCGGGTCTTCCGATCCAGTCTCGGTGATATTACGCATTCTAAGCACCGATTTTGAACAAGAAAACCAACCTAACTTACAAACACAACAACCCAATGAGTTTCTCGCCGGTATTCTCAGCGGGTCTCGATTCCGATCCGATGGTAGATTCAGCGAAGCACTGCTTTTGTTAGGGCAGATGTTAGCAAATTCCGACTGAACCCCGTGAGCTCGCTAGGCACGGTGAAGCCAGAATAGTCCTTTGAGAATACTGGCAGTTAGGCAGGCAAAAAAAAAGTTAAGTTTCAAAATAAATCCGAATTCGCTTCCATTATAATAGTTTCCGAACACCACGCGCCGGGTACCGGTACTCAATGTAAATAGCCATAATAACCGTGTCCTACACAAAGAGCCCCCGTGGTCCGACGACAGGAGACCCAAAACTATAGTTTTTAATTATAATATCACCCACGCTATATATTTTTTTTCTTTTTCGTAACAAAAAATACAATGCGCACGGTAAGCTATTGGGCTTTGTAAATTTCGAGGATCGTGTGTGTGTGTGTGTGTTTTTTTGAGCTTTTTGTGTGATTAATATTGTATGGGCGATAAATGACGTTCAAAGCGGTGTAGCGTTGATAAAATTTGGTAGTTCTTCTGTTTTTTTTTATTACATTAAAACAATATTTTAGTACAATTACACTCCTAATATTGTTTGTTAATGTTTTAGTGTAATCACATCCTAATTTTAATCTAATTAAAACTTAAAATTTGTTGAGCATGTTTGTTACAGTCCCACGTCTAATCAACTTTGGTCTTGTAAATGATAAATTTTCAACCAGCCTGACGTAAAATTCTGAAAGTGAAATTAGCTGATTTCGTGGCGTCAATTTCGACTTTGCAACTTAAAATAGGCACCGGCTATTTAGTTGTCATGGAAGCATGAATTCGGAAGACTGGACTTTAATTACTTTTACTCTGAGTACAATTATTACGTACTAGTATTAACGGCCGTCTGGTGTAGTGGTAAGTGACATGGTCACTACACAAGGGGATCGCGGGTTCGAATCCCGCCAAGGGAAGATATTTGTATGATAAATATAAATGTATTTTCCAGGGTTATGGATGTATATTAAATATATGTATGTGTATAATAAAAATCTTACATTTATATCCGTTATCTGGTACCTGTAACACAAGTTCTTTACGAACTTAGCACGGAAGCAGATAACGTGGCGGGATTGTTAGTAAAGAAAAAGAAAAAAAAAAATTGCGTGGTTGACAGTGTAAATTGCAGAGTCCTCACCAAATTTTAGCAGCACTCATTAAATAAAACGAATCAGTACTCACGAAACCGTGCTTGTCGCTTATGTTGTTCGTCAGCTTGAGCTTGTGGAAGGAGACGACCTTCTGCATCCACTGCTCTCCAGTGGACGGCGAGTCGGGATGTATGTACATTCTTTTCGGCATCTCCGGATCCGCTTTGCCGGCAACCATCCACCGACTCCGAGAACAAACGAGACGATTAGGTTTCATGATGGCGCAAATGAAAAAAAAAACCAATAGGGTTGTACACAAATATCATTAATTAAATTTTAGAAGCAGTGTTCGAATTAGTAATTTTTTTAAATCAAAATTCTTCGTTTTTCATTATCATTATAAAATCGTTAAGTGTTCGTCAGAAATAATGACAATATAAACCCGTGATCAAACTGTAAAAGTACTTTTCATTATTAGAGTATTTTAATTTTTTTTCTCATACATGAGTCGACTATTATCAAAGCCGGCAATCTGACTTTTGGACAATGATTAGTAAATCAGAAAAACGAATTATTGACTTTGTATTCCATTGGCAGTCACAAAACTCTTCGGAACGACATCTTAGATAAATAACAGGTTAACTATTAACCTTTATTTAATGCAGGTTTTGAACCGTATTCTTTTTAAGGAGACGATTATATTCAAATCAATCTGTATTGACATATCAATTTTTTTTTTTGTCCAAATGCACAGATTGCCACCTTTGATAATAGACGACTCACATCATTGTTATATTATTATGAGGTGTTGCGATACGAAGAACTTTAAACTAATAACTAATCAGGGAACTTGATGTTTGCACACGTAAAATGTGCTCCCAAATATAATATTTAATTATAGCAAGAATGGAGCCGCAGACAATTTAGTAGTTGAAATAATCTCAAACAATCGAAACTTGTAACTAGGTTTTGACACCTATTCTAATTTAGCTGTAAGGCCGTATTGCAATTCTAAATGAAGTTTTACAACCACTCAATGCGTCTTTTGAGAATGACCTGTGACCGCTTTTATAAAGGGAATTTTGAAAACATGCCGAGTTACAAGTATCGATTTTTTGAGATTATTTCAAGAACTCAACTACTAAATTTGTCTGCGGCTCGATCCTTGCTATAATTAAAATATTATATCATATTTGGGAGCTCATTTTATGTGCCAACCGATTTGCAGGGAAATAATAATTTTTCTTTTATTTATGGCTCCCGTCATAATTATCAAAGTATTTTTATATAATGCGAGTTGTCTGAACTTGTTCATCACAAAGACACTGAGTTCGATGGAATATTATGTTTATTTTCTGATGTTTTAACGTAGAATTACACAAACAGATGGACAAACAAAAATGGGGAATTTGAACCAAACTTCATTGAATTATTTTTTTACACACTTTATTGTGTACTTATAATAGGATAGTCTATACATGGATGGAATAACAGAAAATTACTACAAAAACAAAAAGGAATGTCCCGTTAGTATAACAACTTATATTTGTCTGGACAAACACTACATTTGTATTTTGTACCTACACGAATTCAACCAAACACCATGCAGATATTAAAGTCTATGTCCAATGAATTATCTTCATTAAAGTTTCGATAAACAAATCAAAAATGTATTTAAAATTGAAATTACTATTCGTTTATACAAAAATTCACCCAAACATGCAAATACTGAAGCCATTTATTTCAACAGCAAAACAAACACAGATAATACTTAAGATGCTAAAAACAAGCGAAAAAGAAAAAAATCCGTACTAAAAGTGTTTTATTGCTCACGATTACAATGTTATTGTGAAACCATTAGTCTTGATAAAATATCGGCTGGCGGAAGAACTCAATAATATTTGGGAAGCACGCAACGAACAATCTTTTTTTGTTAATGAACGATTAGAACGCGCAGTTCCCGATACAAATTGTAACGATGTTAATCTACTCGTAGTACCAGATTCATTTCTCGTTCTCAAATTTAACAAGCGAGGTATGGGGACAAGCTTTATTTATTTTTGTTAAAGCCAAAATAGGTTTATTAAAGCATGTGTGTGCCCTAAGACTGTGGCGGACTTTCAATTCGCGCCAAAAGTTACCGTTGAAGATACAGATTAGAACGATCGTGTGTTGTTTGTGGTGCAAGATCTTCATAAAGCTTCGTTTTTGATGGCAGCGGATTGAAAGTCACGTTTAGTGAGTACGCTACAATTACGCATGCTTCTTGCCTTTTCGTCACTTAACGAATTACATTAAAATAAGTTTGTTGAATTATATGAGGGCCGTCAACGCTACTACGTGTTCACGCTTATTTTAATTTAATTCCTTTGCACGCCTCTGTGTTTTATACCTGTTGTGGAATTTGTATCTGCAATCGTCGGCAGCTACGATGTCCATTAGCAAAATGTACTTTGCTTTTTTATCAAGACCAGAAACGCGGACTTTGTAGGCAGGAAACATACGTCTGCAAGCAATACGAGAGAAAAACATGGATTGGGACTTGTTCTTTGCGACAACGATTTGACATCGCGTCGATTGTGAGACGTGCAGCTGAACTAGTTTCGCTTTTACGTATCTCGTGTACGTGGAACCGGCCGCTTTAGCTTGTGATCTTCTGACGGGCTATTAACATTAATCTTATCAGACTGACAGCACTAAACATTTCTAGAATTGTATTCATTTTCATATGTTTATGTTCATCGGTTCGCGGTGCGGTTATTTGCGCAGTTTACGTTTTCCAATCAAAGAGAAGTCCAATTGGATTTAACCGAATATTTTCGTTCCGAATGAATTTCCGTCGTGGATAGCCTAAAATGGCGAATGACACGTCGATTCCGTGGTTTTGTGGAGCGCGCGACAACGACAAAAGACGTGATGAAATGTGATGTTTCACGAAAAGTTGACGCACATCCCGAACATTCTCGGGGAGGACAAAAACGCCAGCGGACAAGCTTGATCGATTTTAGAAAGAACTGAACCGGCAATTGATTAGTAATTTGTGTACGAATCATTTGTAATAATTAATTACCATATTAAAGGCGATAGTCGTCCGGTGCCTTTGTCGGCGCTTAAGGCTGAGTCACAATCGCATTTTCGACCGGAATGCTCGGCTCGTATTAATTAACGGATATAAAATCGAAGTTTATCGGATGCATCTCGACGTTGCCAAACCCGTGCGTCGGCGGTTTATTATTGATCGTCAATCAATGGACATTAAGCGAGGAGCAATTCTTATCGGCGCTTGTCATCGGGGATCGGATAATGTACGCGATCAAATACGATGTTCAGTGGACGAGCCCCCGGGGGATAGTACAGACGGCTCGATATTTTTGTATATCGAGACACAGATCTTTATTGAGATTCGGACCACAAGTTAAACTTCTAATTTAGGTTAATTTGACAGAACTATGAGCCGCACAAGTATTTCTCACTTCTGCTCTTGCGACGTTTAAGCTTTTTACTTTCCCGCTGCGGCGTTTGAAACAAAGACATTTTAATGACATTACCCATCGGATGTGTGTTGAATCCGTAATCATCGGATGGTTCGTTGGCGGTGGTCACTTGTCCTGCGATGTCGTTGCCCTAAATGAACCGAGTTTTATACAAATTGTTGAGACGCAATTAACGCATCGACCGATGACGGGAACTAGTGCATCGCGTGGATAGAATCACAAGCTAAATGAAGATAAGCGTGTAACGAAACACAGTTACGAATCGAATGAGAATCTCCAATCAACGGCGAAATCAAATGACGGACCGACAATCTGGCGCCATACGATGCCAAATTCTCGGTTACAAAATGAGTGAGCGAATATGCGTTGACTCGGGTGAAGTGTTCCGGCGGGCAATGAGTGGATGTCTACCTGTTGTGGAACTTATATCTGTAGTCATCAGCGGCGACGATGTCCAACAGGAGGATGTATTTGGCTTTCGCGTCCAATCCGGAGACGCGGAACTTCATTTGTGGGAACATTTGTCTGCAAATCGGAATCCACATCAAAGTCGATCGTCTCGACGACCTCAGTGCGAATCTAAGGTACACTAGATGAACTTATACAATATTACACACAAAAAAAAACCTCCGATAGCCAACCCTCATTACTGTGATAGACGTCTAAGTTATTTCACTATTTAATTATACTTGAACATGATAAGATTGAGATCCATAATTTATATTTAAATATATATTTCGTCCACTACATACGGTTCAAAATTATAAACACTAATAATTTAGTGGGTACGGTCGCGTACCAAATAAATTCCTTCATGCGCTTTCGCGATTTCATAAAGCAGCCAGCAATCTTGGCACCGCTATTACGTCTGATAAAGTCAAGTCTGTAGACGGACTCTCGTAACTTCGAGCTTTAATCAGTCGTCAATGTGCCGCGATTCTAATGCTCATTAGCCATTTTATTTATAGCAATTACGTGATGTACACACCGAACGATTTGCCGTGCCGGCCGACAACTCTGATGGATGTCGTGTCACGTTAAGATCACGTGGAGAATACGAAATAGTGTATTTTAAAGTAAACTCGATGTTTCTTGTTCTTTGTTGGGTCTAAATATCCTGCTAGGTTAACGGTCGATTCTTAATCTCTTTTGGCCACATCCGGGTTTGTTGGTTTTGTGGCTCAATCGGTTCAAGCGGTTCGTGTTTCTGTATCGGGAACGAATTGATGCCAGCGAATTATTGTACAAAAGTCATGCCCAATTAGGTTTTGCTGTGACGGTATTTTTTATGAAAAATATAAATTTTCATAGTCGCGCTCCGTGTGTTATTAGCTGATCATAACTGCACTGTATGCTTATTTTTATATATTTATTTTATTTTATATATTTGACAGTAAAGGCGGATTTAATGCTATAGGCATTCTCTGACTGTCTACCTTAGGGGAGTGCAGAGATGAACCTTGTTAGGTGTAGTGTGATAGTGATATTACTTTAACATACGTATATTTATAGATACAAAAAGTCGTACTTAAGTAAATACATATATGTATATAAATATATACATATAAAAATATATATAAATGAATATCAATTAATTTATGTGCTATTCTAATATACTATGTAATACAATGGGAAGTTGCATCAAAATCCGTCCAGTAATTTTGGAGTGACAGAGTAACAAAGATCTTTAGATATTTTTTCCGTTCTGATTTTTGGAACTTTTCGTAATTATTTACCCGTAGGTAGAAGATCGATCTCCGTGTACTATTAATGTATAGGCAGACGAGTATAATGACCACCTGGTGGTGAATGGTTACCGTCTCGTCAGCAATGCCAGGGGCAAACCCAAGCCGCTGCTTACCGCTATCTTTTATTATTTTCCGGGTCCCATGACAAGGAACTAGGATTCCTTGTTCGGCGCCAACGAAAGATGAATAAGTTTTAATACTGGTTAATACAAAATCATTTTACGTGTTTTTTTTTTTTTAAGGCAGTACAAACAAAGAGAATGTGATTTATACGAAACGCCTCTCGAAGATTACCCGGTTTTATTGCGACTGGAGCTGCGGTAATCCTGATTTATACAGCTTCAATTCTCGATGCGTTTTTATAACGATTCGTCTCTTGAGTTAAATTTGTTTATTTAACACGATATAATCAATTTTATTTGCAGAACTAAGTGATGGTCATTATCTAGATGTGGTTTATTGCTTCGATCGCTAAATAGGCTATAAAGCACTTTTTTAGATTTATTACCGAAGCAACAATAAAAAGTCCATTGCATTTATAGCTAGATTCTCGAGTTGATCGTCTGATTGTTGGCTTATTCGAGCAAAGAATATCCGATTTATAATTAGAGTAAATTTTAACGTATTGTATTTTAGTTTTGTTCATGATATTGTTATTAGTCGGCTGATTTCTAAAACGTTTGACCTTTTGAATATTATTTTTGGAACAAAGTTTTTTTATTGCCTTGTGATAAATAGTGACCGTCGCTCATGGACAGCAGCAATGGCGGGGCCAAATCCAAGTCTGCTACAGAGAAAGCGTTTGAAGAAGGACATATCATAGCACTCGGGGAACACCGTGGAGGGGTTCATTCCATTCCATAGTACGTGGAAAATCATCATCATCATCATAATCGGTTGCTCTTGGCAGAGCAGTCGTGGTCATGTGGAATTCTTGCTTATTAAAGCCTTGACATATGTCGTCAACAGTGCAATCCAGGATTCTTCGATATTTTGGACACGTATCGCGACGGCCAGCAGAGTCTATCGAGAAACTTGTCGTTCAAGGTAGGGTCAATGGTAAGAGATCTCGTGGACGAATCCCCATGCGCTGGAATGATCAGGTGAAAGACCCTACTGAACGAATGTGTGCGCCGGGTTTCGGTTCGCAAACTATGGAAAACGTGGGAAATAGGATCTCTGAAAACGTAGCGGTTCCAAATAGTATGAACGAAATCTGCTAAAGTGGCGGGAGGTAAAAAGAGATAAAGATTTTCGGATCAATTCTTCAGAGCACTTTACATAGAAAATACGGTACAAAAAACACAGAGAATCAAAGTCCCTCTTCATCAGCAGCCCCAGAGACTCCAAACGGCGAGATCGGTGAAAATTTATTTATTGACAGTCCGAAGGGCCCTCTTCTGTAATGTAAGTACGTGGCTGGTATATAGGGGCACATGTCCAGATATGGGGGTATGACTCATTAGTGCTTTTGTATTGTAAAGAAAAGAAATTCTCTTGTATTTTTTCACACAACACGATTACTGGTTTGCGTAACACTGTTTTGAGCATTTGTTTCATATCGTCCGGTGATTCAGCGAAGCAACGATCTTGCTAGGGCTAGTGTTAGCAAGTCCTCCCAGGTGGAGCCGTGAGAGCTCATCTAACAAACCGGTCGTAACTCGTATAGCCTCTTACTTGGGATTGGTGTAGCGAAAAAAATATCTTTTGTTTCATGATCAAATCAGTATTAAAAATTAATCCCAAGATATATCTCATTTTTGTGTCTGGAAACTTAAGATCGACACTCGGTAGCCGCAGTGAGTAAACGTAACGAAATACAACACCAATGTTATTATTATTATCGCAGCTACAGTTAGTTTAATTGTGTTTTGTTATTACCATAATGACTATTAAGTAGATTCACACGCGTGGATTCCGGTTTTTCACCATGTTGTTAAATTATGAAATCGTGTTTATTTTCGCATTTAAACTACACATGTACATATACTAGCTGTTTACCGCGACTTCGCTCGCGTGGTCAACGAGAAATATCATGGGGGAAATATTTTTTCCCTCTTAAGCTCACTTTAAATATTGAAGAAAAGTTGAGAGCCGCTGGTCTAGAGCTGACGACCAGCGGCTCTCGACTTTTTTTAATCAGCGACGCAGCAAGTAACATTTTTACATATTCTCGGCACCCGTGCATATAAAATATTTGAATTGGCGGTAGGAGTAGGTACATTAATTCAATTATACATTGTTTATCTATACGTTTTAGTAAATTTCGTGACACGCTTGTCAGAAACTTGCGACACGTAAGAGAACCTTGGTTCTCGACGATAAGGGCATGTCATGACATTATAATTATCTATGATTTCAACTTAAAGAATTAAACATTTCAAATTCTTCTAATGTAAATATAATCTATGTACATATAATTCTTGGGAAATCGTTTTTTTTTAAGTATCTCTGAAGTTTTGAAGCTTGAAATTCGAGTCAGGAAATAAATAAATAAAACTACTGATTTTTAGACGCACAGCGAATTTCAAGATCCTGCATAATGGTAAAGAATGTGTAAAGAAATGAAAAATAAATTGCTTGGTAGACATTTAACCACTCGAACGTCATTGTCAGTGAAACCATTTAATGCTTTTGTTTTTACTATCAATTATATTTGAACTTTAACTAAAAATGCCCATCTCAAAAAGTGACGTGTCAAAAAATGTCACCTTTTAAAAAACCATTAATTAACCGACGCGTTTTCAATTAACTTTTCGTATCGTTAATTGGGGTGGGGGGTGCCGTGGAAATTCTGTTTAATGTTCACCACTCACCAAGGAGAAACGGCACTGACACTCACAGTAAGCAATGTTATTATCATCATTTCAGAATCAAACTACTCTTTAGTTTCTAGAACAATCCAATTGAAGGAGTGTGTCCAATATTAGCGTGATCTTTTGTTCAATAAACCCTTGAGCTGCATAAACTCAACAAAACCTAACAAATTACTTGACACTTAACGATTACCAAAGGAATGGCTTAAGACGATCGTTCAATCTAGTTTTGAATGTTATCTAAACGTAAAATCTGGAGGTACGCTTAAAAAAAGGTTAATACGTGCGCTACGAATTTGCTCAATGGTTGTAAAAGCTAAAAGGCTTGACGCGGGAGTCCGGGGCGAGGGGGGACCGCATCTGCTCACACCCTGACGCATTCTTGCGGCTTCGAGTGGCGATGAGTTGCACAGAGCAATGTTAAATCATGATAACCTACCTTATTATGTAGGTTTGTTAGTTTCCAACTATCTATCACGTATGAAAATATTTGGGTTTTTAATCTTTCAATTCGTCAATATGGTAATTGCAAGTAGAAAATAAAAAAGAGCCTTTTGAGGTTATCTGTGTTCATGGCGCTAAAACGTCATTGACACGTCGAAAAAGTATTTTTAAATTACGAGTATAAATAATAGTTTATCGGTTTTCACGTCTCGTAAACATAATTAAAACTTTTTTTAACTGTCATTATATTATTTCCGACTTTTCGAATACTTTAATCTTTTCGTCTTCACGACAGGCTGTGTCGATGACAGAAAAAAACCGTGTTTTAATCATTACAATCGTTTTCCTAACGATTGATTCATAATTGTGTCACAACATAATACCGGCTAATGAATTTCGGATAATTTTAATCATTGATTTAATTTTAATCATTGATTGATGAACTATTATACAACCGACCCCGACTGTCTCAGCTTGCCTTTCACGCACATTATACGACACCGCACGCTGCACGTGT